CTGCGATCCGCTGAACTTGCGGATGCTGCAGGTAAACAAACCGGCCCGCCAGCGGATTTCCCTGACGGGCCGCATGCCAAAGGTTGCTGATCCCTGCATTATAGCATGGGGGGCTGTAAAGTCCCATAGGTAGAACGTATTTTACTATAACTGCACTACAATTTTAAAATCAGGGCAGCAGAAATGGGATGGCAGGGGAGGCTAGCACCTCCACAATGGAAATACTGTGGGAGCTCTGACCTCATGTAAACTTGCATATACCTGGGGAGCAGGGGGGACGAGAGCAGAACTCAGAAGGGCTTGAGCAGCCACTGCGGGGGCTGGGAAGCAGGGAGCAGGATCCGGAGGGGCTGGAACAGGCCTGGAAGCAGGTAGGAACCCCCAGGACCCTCCTTCCCAGTCTGGAGCTGGCTGCCTCCTTCCCCCGCTGAGTCTCAGTGCCTCCTCTCACTCTCCCTCCTATCCCTCCACCCCCCATTTGTAGGGAGGTGCTGTGCTCCTCGCCCCTATTTAAAATTGTGGATTTGTTTAATGTGGCAAAAACCTTATTCTCTTGCTTTATATGTGGCTTGGATATTGCCATCATTGTGATGTGAATCTTTGCACTTCCAGCAGGCACCAAAATGTAGATGGAAGCAGGAGGATGCTGGCTGTATCCCCCTCCACCCGAGCTGGTGCTGCAGAATCCATTGGCAGCCCTCTTCGGGTCCACAGACTGCTCTTGGTCAGAAGCAGTGTCTCCATGAGGTATTGGGATTGATTGGTGAGTGGTAGGACACCAGCCATACTGGGTAGAAGAGAATTATTAATAATTATTAGTATTACCATAGTGCCTAGGAGCCACAGTTGTGGATCAGGACCCCGCTGTGCTAGGCGCTGTACAAACACAGAACAAAAGAGCTCACAATCTAAGTATGAGGCAAAAGACAACAGCTGGAAACAGACAGACAGATGTGGGAATGTAAGGAAACAATGAGACCATATTGGTCAGCAGGCTAGGCAGTGGTCTCAGCACAACAGTGGCCTGCCCACTGACCAGTTTTCTGTAAGCATCACAGCACAGGAGAGTTTTAAGGCTGGATTTGAAGAATCTGTGTTTTTTCCTCATTGGCAACTGCCCTTCACAATGCCAGTGAATTGATTTCTTTTGCTGGTATACCTACAGATTTTCCTGTCTTGTTTCCAGTAAAGAAGATGCCATTTAAAATTATATAGCTTTTCAACTGGGTGTCTCTTCTCTCTCATTTCATTATTTTACACTGCAACTCTCCCTCAGAAAAGAGAGAATCCTACAATAAAATGTGTTGTTCCTGGGCTTGGCACCCCGGATATTGACATGGAGGAAATCAGTGGTTTGATATCGTAATATGCTGGCTAGAGCATACTTGTGCCACTTCCCTCTACTGGATAGAATAAGTATCATTTAACGACATGTCATAGGCTCTTTACGTTCTTCTTTAGCTCAGGTGATAGTGGTCTGTGCTTCTGAATTGCACTGATTGAAAGCTAAGTCAAACCCAGCGGACAGTGATGTGATATGCAGGGTTTTTTTACTCCATCATAGGCGTTCATTTCTGTTTTATCACCACAAAAGAAATCATGTGTAACTGGCCATGTTCATACTTTTTCCTGAATCAGGACCAACTGATCTTGAAGTCACACAGTATAAGGTGTATAAGCAGCCATGGCCTCTACTTCTTAAGCAAATGGCTTTCTATATTGTCTTCCCCTCTCTAGCCTTTGGAATAGATCTGTCCTTCAGCCAGGGAAGAATTTAACTTTAATCTTCAAGCCATTACCCCTTTTAAGTCATCCATTGACTACCACAGGAAGAATCTACCTCCATGGAGGACTGTACACTGGTCCAGGTGCCATAAGTAATATGCTGTGGTTGTTCATGAGTATTAACATTTTGTGATTTCTCTTGAAGAGTCATAATTAGCCTATGTAAACGAAGAGTCCAGAGGGCCAAGGAGCCTCCAGTGTGGTTTCAGTCTCCTTACCCTACTATCAAATTCCACTATTTCAGAGACATGTTGGGGAGCACCTGGCATGCTGGAGGCCTTGCTGCCCTCAGAGTGAGCCTTTATCTATTCTCTTAGCCCTTATCGAGCACTGTACAGTACTGGATTACAAAACTACAGGGAGTGCTACCGCAGCTGTTGGGGCTGTGACTGAAGTAGTTTTTTATAAGAGATGTCGCAGGAGAGAATGAAGAAGAAAAAGCTGTAGTTTGTTTGGGCAAAGCATTACTCTAACTACTGAGAAAACAATTTCATTACCCACAATTTTCCAGTGGGGACATTATGTTGATTTTGAAGGTACCTGGCCAGACCCTCAGCTGATGCAAATTAATGTCATTCCAAGCCTTCAATGGAACTATACCCATTTATACCAGCTAAGCGTCTGGCCCAGAGTGGATAACAACCTTTGTTGCCTATGAACTGTGAGCAATCTGACATGTTTGCAAGGCAGTTTACTTCAGTCTCTTTTGGGTAATTTAGCAGACTTTCAATTTGTACAAAAGCTGGTCTGCCTTTTATTCCCTAAGCATCCACATTTCTCTAATGCTCTTTTCTCTCCCACTCTCTTATATTGGTGGCCATTCAGGGCGGCTTTTCTCCCATCGAAAGGCATGGCAGGACTGAGTGGACACTGCCTCCAGTACTTTCCTGCAAGGCTTGTTCATGCACTGGATTCAAATACTTCAGGGTTTTGTTGTTGTTGATAATTATGTTGCTTTTGCATCATATCATCATTGGTTGTCTTTATTAGTATTAAAAAGGCCCTTAAGTTCTCACTCTGCATATCTCTTCAGCAATAGCACATTTATATTTTAATGTAGTGCCTTATAGTAAAAGCTGTTGAATCATACACAGACTAGTCCCAGATCAGTTCTGGCACTGATCCAGAAATCTGACTGGGTTCAGATATGTTAAGTTACAAATTAGCCACCCAAAACAAAAGCAATGGCCCCCTGTTTACTATATAAATGCAAATTAGTGAATTAGGGGATTTTTCTTTTCATTGCTCTAGGTATACAAACCAAAGGGGAAAAAGTAAGAGTTTATATTAGGAGAAGCCAATGAGACTGCATTTTAGATACTAGTATATGAAGGTAAGATATTGTTACATTCTTTCTCTGTAATATTGTGGTTTGGTGCATTGAGAAAACCACGTTAGTGCTGTTCCATGAATTAACTGTCTAATTACACATGAATAGTTCATGATTGGGGAAACAGTGTAAAGAGCTGAGTTCAGAAATATGACATATGTCTTGATCTGTGTTTGAAAAGTGACTGTCCCAGCAGGGGTGTTGGAACAATTTGGGTGTTGGAAGCCATTGAACAAAACTGAAAACCCCATATGTGAGGGAAATCATGTATTTGGTTGTTTTTAATACTTCCAGCCAGGGAGTCCTGCCACACCCCCAGCACCCCTGTGGCCCACTGAAGGTGTGATAGGTGGTGTGCAGGGGCATGCACAAGGGAGGGCAAGCAGGGGCATCCTCCCCTCCCCCCTAATCAGTAGGGGCACAGAGCTCCTCCAGCTTGGGACCGCAGCAGGGAGATTGAGCTCCTCCAGCCCTGGGGCATGGGGGAGGAGGGAAGGGGGCACAGGATGTGTCCCTCAAAAAGCGGTCAAATGTTTATTCCTGCACACGCCCCTGGTGGTGGGTGTGGGTGTGTGAGAGAGAGACTAGAGCTGGTTAAACAGTGTCAATTGAATAATTAATTTGAAGAACTTCACAATAATTTTCAAGTATTTGTAATTTGTTGTCCATTTTCTCAGTTTACAGACTAATTCACACATATTCCCAAATATAGGTTCACTTGGGGGCTTCTTTTTTAGGTCAGTCATTTTTCTTATTATTTGCACCAGTTTGTGTGTAACATGGATTAATATTAAAGTCCTGATCCAGGCAAGTGTCCTTGCTCAAGACAGCATGTCAGCACATGATTATCTTAAAGCATGTACTTAAGTTCCATTTAAGGCTATTCTTTTAGGTTACACCATATGCTAGCAGAACACATTAAAACGAATGACTCTCTCACTAGTATATAATACTTTATTACTTCTTTGTTACTACTACTCAGAGAACAAGGGCAGGCACCTAAGCTCCTCTCTATGGGGCTGATCCTACACCCATGGCCGACTCCAGGCACCAGCAACGGAAGTAGGTGCCGGGGGCAGCCAATAGAAAGGGGCGGCACTTTGGCGGCAGCTCAAGCGCCCCGTTTTACTCTTTGGTGGAAATTCGGTGGCAAGTCCTTCACCCCATCTCTTCCTCTTCGGCGGCAGCTCAATCGGTTGCCTCCCCCCCTCCCCTTCGCCGCTTGGGGCGGCAAAACAGCTGGAGCCGGCTCTGCCTACACCCCAGTGAAATCAATGGAATTTTGCACAGGCTCAAGTCCAATGTGGGCACATATCTCCCTTTGGCACTGATTCAGGAAAGCACTTAAGCATGTGCTTAAGCCCCATTGAAGTTAACAGCAAAACTCCCATTGATTTCAATAGAGGATACCGGTGATATATTAGGCCCTTTTACTGTGCTTTACCTAATATCTAGTACAACTTCAAGGAGAACAGCATCCAAAGAGTAAGTCAAGCTAATTTATTTTAACAGGATTTTTTTTTTAAAAGCGGATATGTCTAAAATATTTCAGTATGATTTTTACAATGCTTTAAAATAGAATTAGACCAATAAGGGTACATGTTCCAATACCTTTATGGGATGACTGAGGCTGTGCAATGCCCACTGGTATCCATAAGAGTCACACAATTCAGACCTCCATGCACATGACTTGAAAAACAGACACCTGCCCCCCCCCCGACTATTCTTAACCAAATAAGGCCTCGATTCAACAAACATTCATGCATGTGCTTAACTATATTCATGAGAAGATTTCCACTGATGCCAGTGGGGCTACACATACAAATGAAGCTAAGTGCATAGGTGTTTGCAGGATTGAGGCCTACGTTAAAAACAAATGTGTTACCTGTAGCAGTTGTTGTTGTAGTTGTTGTAACTCCCCAGGGCTGTCAAGCATCCCAAGCAGATGGCATAAGAGAAAAATATTTGCGTGCCAGCATCCACCCAGACCTGCAGGCAGAAACCAAAGGCGTTATCAAAGGGAAAGAAAGAATCATCGTTGTTTGTGCTTTCAGCGTGTTTATTTTCTCACAGGCAACTACACGAGGTAACTGAAAATATCTGGCAAACTTTGTTTAAATTAGAAAAAACATGGATTTGATTCTCCTTTTATACCCAATGGTGCAAATCAGGAATAACTCAACTGAAGTCAAATGGATTTCACAAGTGTCCAACTTTGTAAGTAAGAGGATACTTTGGCTTTGTGTGGCAGATAGGGTGACCAGATAGAAAGAGTAAAAAATTGGGACAGGCGGTGGGGGGTAAGAAAAAGCCCCGAATATCAGGACTGTCCCTATAAAATTGGGACATCTGGTCACCCTAGTGGCAGATCCTCAGCAAGTGCAAATCCTCCTTGCTTCATTGAAGTCAACGGAGGTTTGACAACTTATATCAGCTGAGGGTCTGTCCCTGGCCTCCTCCCTATGGGATAACTAGAAACTTAAAAAAAAAAATCATTCGAGATTAATTAAATACATACCCACAATGCATGATGTCATTCACAGATTCATGCACATTGAACAATGAGTCAGGGGGAAAAGCAGGCAAATAATTATTATGTGTAATTTGTATTGAAGCTGCACCTGGAAACCCCAGTTATGGATTAGGACCCCACTTTGCTAGGCGCTGTACAATCACAGAACAGACAGACAGCCCCTGCTCCAAACGGCTCACAATCTAAGGAGCTTTAAATGGCTAGCCTGGCAACTCAGAAACTGAAGCATTTTCGAACACAGGAGGCTGTGTGTGATCCATTGGATAGGGCAATAGGCTAAGAGTTCAGAGAGCTGGGTTTATTCCTGAATCTGTGACCGGCTTGCTATGTAACCTTGGCAAATCATGCGATTTGGGCAACTCTATGCCTCAGTTTCACCATTTGGGGATAATGAGATTTGCTTGAGATTGATGGATGAATGAAAAGTGCTATATGCAAGATAAATATTATTATTATGCTTATTATTAGATTTTTAAAATCATTTCTATTACAAGTGTGGCACTGATTAGAGATAACTCATTTTCCATGTAACTTCTCAAGAATAATGTTACATCCCAAACTCAAGTAAGTCATTGCCATTTAATCACAAGACAACAATCTTAACTCTGACCCAAAGTGATGCCTATTCTTTCACTGATAATCTCAAAATATAAACACAACACAAAATCTTTTTTTGAAACAAAAATCATAAAAATTATGTATTCATACATACAGCCTTTGGTTGTATATGAACTTCTATAGTTGTAGATATACACATTACTTAATATCTGACAAGAGTAATTTCTTTATTATGTGGGCAGTGTAAGATTTATCATGTTCTGAACTATCCATTTCCTTCCTTCTGAGTGCTTGGGTTTTGTAAATGATGTAGACAGGTGAGAATATTTAGCCTTAACTGATTCTTGAAATGATTTTTACTTGTTGTTTATGGAACTTTCAATCCTTCATTCATCTTTTTCTTTTCATCACTATCCCCTTACTCCCCAGTGACAGCTACTCATTCCATGGGACAGAATGCTCAGGCTCAACACATGCAATAATCAGACTAGTCAGAAATTTGGATTGTGGATGGAGGGGTTTTCCCTTCATGTTTCTCTGTAAGGAAAAGTAAGCAGGCAATTCAACTTAAATTTATGTACAGATCTTGCTGAGCACAACCTTTTCACCTTGGGGAAACTCTGAGTATTTCAGATATTAATTAGATGCAGGAATTGTTCATATTCAAGGTAAGCAAGCTTGCCAAAAGAATAATTGTTAGGACTTGGAAATCAGCAAACAACATTAACATCACTGGATGGTGAGAGAAGAAGTTACATACAGGGTTAAAACTGTAGCCCGTGTGGGGCAGTATTGTTTAATCACTACCAATATGATCTGGATTTGCTCTGGTTACCTACAGATGAAAGCCTACCTATCCTGGGCCAGTTCCTTAACACAGCACAATTCTTGAGGGGAGTTAAGGTGGCCTTTACATTTCCCCTATTCTGGGCTGTACATACACGCTGGGCAGGCTGTCATAAATGATGCAGTCTTCAAATGGCCCCAGAGGCTGAAATGGCAGCCAGAGATTAGTGGCAGTTAGGGGAGTCCTGGTCATTTGTCACAGCTGTGGTGGAGCACTGCAGGCCCTGTTATTCTACCGGTAGTTCTCCGTCAGCAGGGGATCCTCCTGTGGCCAGCTGTAAGTCTAGAATTTGCCAGCAGAGCTACACAAAGGAGCCATACCAGCAGACCTGGGCTCCTGTGTCCAACCCAATGAAGTACGCTGCACACTTGGGAGTAAGTGTTTTATATGACTTTCGTGAGAACTTTTAATCACAACGATTGAAGTGTTTTGCAGAAAAGGAACCTGACTAAAACCAAGATAATATAATGTTGACTGTTATGTTTTGGGGGCTGTAAGTTCGAGGCAAGAAGGGATTCAAATTCCACTCAAAGATTTCATGTATGGACCAAGCCAATCACAATAACAGAGCCAGCGCTAGGTATAAGCAGACTAAACAATTCTTTAGGGCCCCGAGCAGCTCTCAGGGGCCCCCTATTAATTATTAGTATGTGTTGTGTGGAGGAGGATGACAAAAATATTCCCGCTTAGGGCCCCCAATGGGCTAGCACCTCCTCTGCATAGTAATCAAAGGCACAGAAATACATAAACATACAAGGGACATATTTATTTGACATGTGACTGCGGGAGGCTTTGGTTTCTGGAGTTGCTGGAAGTTGGAAGTGTTTCTGTTTAGGAACGGCATTAGGGTCACATTTGATTTGCATCAGTGGTTTAAATGGTTTCATTGCTGTCATGCTGAATAAGATACAGCTGATTACATCTCAACGTTTCACCACTTGGTAGGGAAAAAACTGCACGGGGAAAGCCTTTTGACAGACAGGCTATTTAATGAGATTGGAAGCTTCCAGAAAGCTGGAAGTAACATAGGTCAACTGAAAGAGAACGATTTTCTTAAGTCTAAACAAAACACAGGAAGCTGGATCAGTAGATGTAGAATCCGACCATTACCATTTTCCCCTGTTTTAGTTGTTGCACAATATTGCTCAGTAAAGGGTCAAATGCAGGCCCAGCATTACACAACACTGGATGCATATTAACCCTTCCTGAGGGCTCGTGTCAACACCACAGCAGCCTGACTGTTCCTGAGGAAGGCCAGTCCTCCTGTGAAAGAGGGACAAATACATATGTAATATGAAGTCAGGACCACAGAGCTGCTTGGGAAGTGGAGTAGGGAGAATATCCCTCTTGAGATAAAGTTAGGGCTCCAGGCCTGGTTAGAATATACAGCTCTGAGAGACATCACGCCACAGTCAAGACCTGGCCCTGAAATGGTGGTGGATTTTCTTTATAGCAGCTTCAGCCCTGTTTTCTATAATGGCACAATATAGACAGTGACAGCTAATATTGAGTCAACATCAAAATATTGGGGAACACTTTAAATGGGCTCTGTGAACTCTGCGGAAAGCTTGACCTAAATTCTACGGTAAGGCCCCTTGGCTGTTGCAGACCTCCGCTGTAAAACTGCAAATTCTATAGTGGCTCCAGGTAATTTTTTTTTAAATGAGCTTTTTATTTGCTTAAATATTAAATTGAATAACATAATCAATGCAAGTATCAGAGGGGTAGCCGTGTTAGTCTGAATCTGTAAAAAGCAACAGAGGGTCCTGTGGCACCTTTGAGACTAACAGAAGTATTGGGAGCATAAGCTTTCGTGGGTAAGAACCTCACTTCTTCAGATGCAATAATCAATGCAGTTTCCCTTCACTTATACAGTTTGATATTAAATTTAATTTAATTTATGCTGTGTATAAATCTGCTATGTTCAATGTGCTGCAGAATAGGGCACTGAAAATGCATAGCTGCATTGTAGACCTAGCCAATGGGGAAATGGGAGGCTTAGTAATGTAGCCAGGGCTTCTGACACCTAGGAATATGAGATAGGTAGGCTGGAGTTGTGTACTAAGGCTCAGACCAGCAGTGAAAGATTTAACAATGTCAGCATTGAAAATTGCCATAATTAGGTTTTAGAGCCAACAGCCTTTGAAATGAATGGGCACTCTCAGAGCACACTCAGGAAGGCAACACTACATCAGTTCACACTTGGTTCACATTTTAAGGTTATCTCTGTAACTGTAAAGTTAAAAACCTTAATTATTTTACATACAAGTGATGCAAGGGATGGATTCTGTGTCAGATTCAGTAGTCATAAAATCACAGAACACACAAGGCCTTGTCTAGAAGGAACTCATAAAGATTTCATAACAGTTAGCATGTAACTGGATACAAGTCTGTTATTAAAAAATCTACTCAACTGGTTTTATCAACTGGATAACAGATACCCTCACTGCATTCTTAACCCTCAAGAAACATGCTTTATTCTAAATACTGGTAATATTAGTACTTAAAAAAATGTATTGTAGCACCTACAGTAATGTGATAACAATGTATAATAATGAAGACCCTAAAAAGCTATTAAATGCGTGAACAAATTCCAGCAGCCTGCACTTTATACCATTAACCATTCAACAGTTGTATCACATGCCACAAACAGTAGCAGTCATTACAAAGTCAACATTTACCTACAGTTACTATGTAATTGTAAGCCAGTATTTTCCCCTTCCCTAAGAATAGCAAATACAGCAGCGTCTCAGAGATCACAGTGTGATAACTGTAAGAAAATATTAACAATCTGATGGCAAGCACGAGACATGGCTAACAAAGGCCCGTGGCTTTCATTAGCTGTAGCCTAATCCATTCCAGTACTCCTGTTAGTCTCTTCAATATCTCCCAAGCACATCTGGATTGTCCCTTTATTCCCAAATTGCTTTTCTGAACTTCACTGAAACTTCCCCAAATCTCTCAGAAGCTTCTTGTATTTTCTGAAATGTTTCTCAATCCTCTAAGGTAAAAATATTCCTCAGATTTTCCCATTCACTTTATCAGTTGACT